CAACTTTCCTACATCAAATGCATTTATTAATATGAACGTTATTGAACTCCCCACAGTTGAAGAAACTTATAACAATTTTTAGAAGGCGATCTTATCTAGACATGAATCCCTCGTTGCTTAAATGCATCACCTGTGGCACGCTCCAAGGGTTGACACATGTCAACCTTCTCTCTCTCTCTCTCTCCCCCATCGCTGCCACCACAATGCCACCAAAAAGAGAAAGAAAGGGGGGGAGGAGGCTAACTTCTAGCGATACGCATCAAAAATCTAACAGCCATGTAGAGTGTGAGAGTATAATAACCAACTAAAGATTCTCGTTCATCCTATCAAATTTTGAGATTTTGCCGTTTGAAAACATATATTACCAAACACAGAAGTTTTGGCACTTTTAAACATAATTCTAACACAACCATAATAATATCAAACAAAAGCTCCTAATTCTATTGTTAAGGATGCTAAAAAAAATTCCTCAAGTTGGATTGGGTCTAGGTTCAGCAGCTAACTCATCTCTCAATCATGTACCGCAGGGAGCTAGGATTAATTGTCTAAAAAGTTATAAACCTATTGTACGGCGGCCAATTCAATCTTAAACTTCAATTTAGTCCTAAACATTTTGATAATTTGTCAATATAGTCATAAACCTTTTAACAATTTGTCAATGTAGTCATAAACCTTTTAACAATTTGTCAATGTAGTCATTCCGAGTAATTTTGGCTAGAAATCCCTGAAGGACTAGGTTTAAAACTAAATTACCAAAATGTTTAGGACTAAATTGACATACTTGAAAGGTTTATGACTGAATTGACCGCCATATAATATGTTTAAGACTGAATTTAAGTTCAGCAGCTGACTCGAAATGTCTTTAAGTTAAGCAGCTGACTCGTCGCCCAATCACGAACTGCTACTCTTCACCTCCAGAAAGTCCTCATCAAATTAACAAAAAATAAAATGAAAAGAAAAAAGCCAGAATAGAAGCTAAAATGCGTTTAGTGTGGTTGAGCTTCTTAAATATAATTGGCAAGCACAAACTCTCCAATTTCAGCAAAGAATGCTTGTCGTACCACGACCGAACGTTTTACAGAACCTTCCTACTGTCACGGCCATCACTTTTCCTTTAGTGACCACATGACAAGGAAAGTATAAACTTGAACTTTAACAAGTCCACCATTATTCACTTCAAATAAATCTCCTAGAGAACATCTTCTTATTTATTCTAGGAGTAATTTTAATTCCCCCCCACCCCCAAAGGAAAGTATAAACTTGAACTATAACAAGTCCTCCATTATTCACTTCAAATAAATCTCCTAGACAACATCATCACAATCCACCTTCTTTTTTATATAAGGAAACATTTTAATTCCACGCCCCCCACCACCCCCACCCCATGGCAGAGGAGACCGCAGCAAATTCAGGCGGATTCGAGAACGACACGTCAAAATACGTAAGGACGCTGATCAAGACCACTGGGTCGCTCGAAATCCGAAGCTTCCTCCTTGTCATCGCCACCCTCATCGCAACCGTCACCTTCCAAGCCGGGGTCAGCCCCCCCGGCAGCCTCTGGCAGGAAAGCTCCAATGGCCGCGTCCCCGGCCAGGCCATCTATGCCTCTCAGAAGACACCATTATACGCGTTCCTGGTGTGCAACACGCTCTCGTTCTCATTCTCCATCAACCTTATCATCCGTCTCACCTGGGAAATGCCGTTCTTTCTTGAGGTCTTGCTGGCCAGCATGTTGATGGCCATCACATACGGCTTAGCGGTCCTCGCTGTCGCTCCCGAGTTGCCCCGGTGGCTTATCATCATCAGCTTCGTGCCATTCTCGCTAAGGTCTTTGATCGCCCTTGGCCGATATTGCAGAAATGAATATTTTAGATGTAGGTCGTAAACATTTTATTTGAGATAATTGTTTAAAAAGTCCTAGACCTATTGTACAGCGGCCAATTCAATCCTAAACCTTTCATTTGTGTCAATTTAGTCTAAACCTTTAGATGATTTGTCAATTTAGTCTTAAACCTTTTTATGATTTGCCAATTTAGTCCTAAACTTATTATTTGGATATTTAGCCGGAAGAACTACATTGACAAATCGTCAAAAAATTTTGAACTAAATTGGCAAATCATTGAAAAGTTTAGAACTAAATTAGCACAATTTAAAGGTTTATAACTAAATTGACACAATTGAAAGGTTTATGACTGAATTGGCCTCCGTACAATAGATTTATGACTTTTTGGACAATTTTCCCTATTATTTATTTGAGATTGTATGAAATGGAGAGACAATTTGATAAATGTGTGCCAACAAACTTTCCATTCGAACGATCTCCTGCTTGAGCTTGTATGAATTTAGAAGCTTATGCATTGTTGACTCAAATTCTACTTCTTGTTCTTCTTCGTTTTTACTTTGAATTTTTTAAAATAATTAAGGATATCATTAATTTTTGTATTCTAATTATATGTTTCCTTGTTGTCATTATATTGTATTATATTGTCAATATAATTTTTTATCAGCTTCATAGGATAGACAACGGAAAGCACGTGCATGGTGAAAGCATTCTACATAACTAGATTTGTCACGGGCCTTGTTAATTTTAGTTTCTAGCCAATGTGGGCTGGCTCAACTGATAAGATAACTCTCCGCACATCATGTTCGGGTTCGAATCCATTTTTTTGGAATGACCAACTAGCACGCCGACAGTCCCCTTTGGTAAGCGATCTGTAAATCCATTATAAGACCTTTTATGCCTGTGATATGCCCTAGCCTTGGCATGGGATAACCTCCCCTTCTCCTAAACTTTTTCATATAAAAAAAATTAGTTTCTGATTAAGCAGAAACCAACTGAATATAAATGATTATTAGGAGAAACCCACTCAAAGAACATTGGTTTGTTTTTTTTTTTTGGTCGATGAACATTGATTTGTTGAGTTAGGATTTATAAAGCTCAAGCACTACAAAAAAACATGGATTTTGCCACGGAAATTTGCGACGGGGAATTTTTCGTCGCTAATTTGCGACGAAATTTGCGACGGAATTTGCCACGAAATCAAAATGCGTCGCAAATTTGCGACGGATTTATTTTCCGTCGCAAATTTGCGACGAAAAATAAATCTGTCGCAAATTTGAGACGGATTTTGCGATGGATTTATTTTCCGTCGCAAATTTGCGACGGATCTATTTTCCGTCGCAAAATCCGTCGCAAATTTGCGACGGATTCCAAAAATTGTATTGCATTTTCCAATGCGTCGCAAATTTGCGACGTATTTATTTTCCGTCGCAAATTTGCGATGGATTCCAAAAATTGTATTGCATTTTCCAATCCGTCACAAATTTGCGACGGATTTATTTTCCATCGCAACGAATTTTGCCAAATTTTTCGTCGCAAAAGTCGTCGCTAAAACCTTGTTTTTTTGTAGTGTTCTAAAACTAAACCTAAGTTCTTCTAAATCTAATCACGATGATTACCATGTCTCAATCTCTCGTGATAAGGACGAGGACTACATAAGGAATATACTCCATCACAAGACAAACTAAATATTGCCTAATGAAATCAATCTAATGCAAACTAACAATTATTAATTGAAATTCAAACTAAATTGGATGATTGTCACAAGTTCAAATTCAAAAGAGATTGGACGATTTGCTACATGTCCAATTCTAAGAGAGATTAGATATTACAAATTCAAATTAGATAAGAAGATCTATTATAAACTCAAGATATTAGATAATCTCTTAAAATGTTCTCGTCCCAAATAAGCTTTTTTAGATTCAATAGGTGCAAATCTTATCTTCTTTTTTTTCAAGACTTAGATATAGATAACACATATATCTATTTAGTTGAATATGGCGGTTTCCTCCGCACGTAGCTCTTATGTATGCGTAAATATATGGGTAAATAAATTATAGCAATTTTCAAATAGATCGGAATCGGGTGAATGTATGAAATGTAAAGTCAATGTATCTATATGGGGATATCTATAGGAGATCATATAAAAGAGATATTCTCATTTAGACCTAACCAATTTGATCTAACCAATTAGATGAATTACTCCTAAAGGGTTACATTCGAATGATAAGTGAATAGAGGGCATGCATTCTATTAGAGAAATATTTAGAAGATTCCCTATATTTCCTTTAATTGATTGTAATTGATATTTCCCTTTTAGATGGTCATCCTATAAAACCGATAAATAGGTTCGTGTACTCTTCATTTGACAATGATATATATATATATATTTGCTCTTAATTTTTTTATCACATTGTTGACTTGGTATCGAGCCCTATTGTTATTTGAGAAAGCGTCAATCGAGTCTGTTTGTAACAACGACATCCACATTAGTCATGTTTCTCCACAGTGTTCGTAATACTAGTCACATCGGCCCATTTCGCAACAACCTCCCGTAGTTGTTTGACATTCCTCCGCTGCTCTAATGAAAAAAAAAAAACATCACCAGACTTGCCGCCCTTAGACGAATTAGATTATGACATTTACTAATTCGCCAAATATGAGTAATGTGTCATTGTATGTAAAAGTGTAGAAGCATATCTACTCAAGGTTCCGACGGAATTAGCGACGGATTCGAAAAATTGGTCGGTATAAACATTTCCGTCGCTAATTCCGTTGCAAATTAGCGACGGATTTGAAAAAATGGGCGCCATGTGCCGCGAAGATCACTTCCGTCGCAAATTAGCGACGGAAAATAAATCCGTCGCAAATTTGCGACGGATTTGAAAAATGCCCTTTATTTTTGGAATCCGTCGCAAAATTCGTTGCAAATTTGCGACGGAAAAATAAGTCCGTCGCAAATTTGCGACGGAAAATAAGTCGTCCGTCGCAAATTTGCGACGGATTTGACAAAAAAATTTCCGCTCATTTGAGCAAAAAAAAAGAAAAATTCCCGCCTCCTTTTTCCCCATTCTCTCTCTTCCTTTTTCTTTTTCTTGTCTTCTTCTTCTTCTTCTTCTTCTTCTTCCTCCTCGCGCGCACATCCTTTGCTCCGACCTTCTCAGCTCCTTCTCCATCTTCTTCCTCTTCCTCTTCCTCTTCTTCTCTCTCTCTCTTTCTTGATCTCTGCAGCCTGGCGATCTCTCCTCAGACCCAACGAGGAATCGCCGCGATCTGTCCCCCTCTCCGCTGCTCCAGCTCAGGTAAGATCCTCGCATTCCCCCCTCTTCGCTCCATCATCGGCCATCAAGGTGCAGTTCCACGTGTCTCCCTTCGTTTCTTTTAGCTGTTCTTTGTCTTTGGGCTTCCGGAGGTTGCATTTTGACGTTCTGCTGTTTCGATGTCCGTGTGCTTTTGGAGTTCTGGGTCTGTTCGTTTGCTTCTTCTTGTTGTGAAATTTAGGAACTTGGGGAGGTTCGAGCTGATGGGTGTGTTGTTTTTTTCCCCTCCATCGACTGTCTCGTTCAGGTCCTGTCATGAGCTGATCGCGTCTCGCTGTTGGGTCGTTCTTCCGGCGGAGGATTTTTGCGGGATCTCGAAGCGGAGTGAAGTAAAGTTGTTCCGAAGTTTAAGCTAAATCTCGTGCCTTTTTTGGGGGTTGATGACGAATACCGCGGCGACCGGCGCCGGGGCGGCCCTGGTGTTTCTGTGCTTGTCCGCGTCGTTGGCGGCGGCGGTGGTTTTGGGGACGAACTATGTGCCCACCGATAAGATCCTGCTGAATTGCGGGGCGGATCTGCAGACCACCGATACCGATGGCCGGGTGTGGACCTCGGACATCGGTTCCAAGTTCTCGTCTTCCACCGCGAACTCGATCACGGCCGCGGCCGCCACGCAGGACCCCTCGGTGCCCCAAGTCCCGTACATGACCGCGAGGATCTTCCCGTCTAATTTTACTTACAGTTTTCCCGTGGCATCCGGTCGGAAGTTCGTCCGGTTGTACTTTTATCCCTCTTCGTACAATTCGTATAAAGCGTCCAATGCCATATTCTCTGTTTCTACTGGGGATTATACTCTTCTGAAGAACTTCAGTGTGGCCCAAACGATGGAGGCTTTGAACTTTGCATATGTTTTGAAGGAGTACTCGGTCAATGTTGAGAGGCAGACGCTGGACCAGTTGGTCGCAAATTAATGACCAAAAAAAAAAATTCATCAAAAATTAGCGACGAATTTTGCCACGAATACATTTCGTCGCAATATTTAGACAAAAACAAAACATTTCGTTGCAATTTAGAGATCAAAAAAAAATTTCGTGGCACATTAGAGACGAATTTTGCGACGAATACAGTTCGTGGCTAATTTGCGACGAATTTTTCCACGAATAATTAGCGACGAATTTTGCGACGGACAATTAGCGACGAATACAGTTCGTGGTTAATTTTCGACGAATTTTGCGACGAATTTTTTGCGACGAATAAAGTTCGTGGCTAATTTGCTACGAATTTTTTGCGATGAATTTTGCGACGAATTTTTTGCGACGAATTTTTTTTCGTCGCAAATTAGCGACGAAAATTGATATTTTCCGTCGCAAAATTTTGCGACGCCGAATTAGCGACGGATTTTTTTCCGTCGCAAAATTTGTCGCAAATTCGTTTAGCGACGAATTTTGCGACGAATACAGTTCGTGGCTAATTTGCGATGGATAGTGTTCGTGGCTAATTTGCGACAAATTAATTGGGACGAATTTTGCGACGGATAGTGTTCGTGGCTAGTTTGCGACTAATTTTGTGACAAATTTTTTTCCGTCGCAAAAATTTGCAACGACCTATTAGCGACGGAATTTTTTCCGTCGCTAATTTCGTCGCAAATGCGATTTGCGACGGATTTTGCCTTTTTTTCCGTCGCAAAAATCGTCGCTAATCCGGCGTTTTTTTGTAGTGAAGTAAAAGCATCAGTTTTACATGATGTATAGGTGATTCTGCAATGGATGTTGTCAAGAGATTATTGCAATGGTGGACTTAAGATGGCGGTGAGAAAAGTAATTTTCGATCGTATGATTTACATGATGCATATATGTAGTATATGGATGACTTTATGTCTAGTCTAGAGATGATGGCAAGCAAATATAACGTATTCTAAAGGATTGGAACCTCAAAATTTATGGGGTAAACTTAATTACATCTCAAATTATTGCAAACTTATCCCTTGAGAGTTTGTCTAACAGATCTTCTTGCCCCCATCCCATTACACAAGCCCGGTGACCCTTGGGCCGCCGTTGCCCGACTGAGTTCCTCCGCCATCTCTCTCTCTTTCTAAATGGCCAAATTGGGTCGTGAACGAGGCCGCTACACCAGATTTGGGTTTCCTCGACCTCAAATATGAGGCTGCCAGCCTCGGGCAACCCTGGCTTGGCCCACCGTTTCACAATGTCGCTGCGACTACATAGGTGGTGGTGCTTTTGAGCGTTGAGTATGCAAGCCCTAAGCCTGGTTCACCGACGGACTGGGGGAAGAGAGAGAATTCGATGCGCAACAGGGCACATTTGTGTAGTGCTAAGACAAGATAGGCAGTGTGACGTCGGTTATGATGGCGAGATTGTTGACACCTAAATTTTTTGCTCAAAATTCATTTTCGAAAAATTGGAACTTGTTTTTCCACAAAAAATATTTTGGAATTATTCTACTAAAAAAAAAAAAGGAAAAGCAAGGGCCAAGGATTTGAGTGTAGCTAGCCGAGACCTGAGGGATCAAATTGCAAATGAACCAGCAAGTTGGGGCCAAAATGCAATTTCCAAAAGTTGGGGGACCAAATCGCAAAATTTGTAAAATTTGCCCCCAACCCCTTAAATCATCATTTTTACCCCTAATCAAGCTTGAAATTGAACACGGGCAAGGTCAAATTGATCATATCAAGCCAAAAGAACTAAATTGGCTCAAATCGGACATTCTCGGGCAAGAAAATGGCTAACTTTGAGGGACTTTCTTGCAATATCGGGCGGATATAACTGCAAAGCATGATCAGAGTCCAAAATTAATACACATCCACTTGCCAATTGATCAAAAATATCAGCCGAATTGTCGGATTAAAGGACTTAAACCGGTCGCCAAAACCGAGTCCACGATTTGGTCTGAATTTGAGGCTGCTGAGTAGTCAACTTCGTGGCCCCACCATATTCTACTCAGCTGCCCAATCAGCATGAAATCTGACCGAGGTGTGAGGCCATCATTAGGAGTGCAAATGGACAAAGATTTACCAGAGATAAGCTGCTGAAGGCACGTGATAATCTCAGTCAAATCTGCCCATTCAGCAGCTGCAAAGTATGATGAATTTGGTCAGGTCAGAGAGTTGGTGAAGAAGCTCAGTTTGCAGGCTTGGTATGTGGGCAATCATGGACTAAAATCTTGCTGGATTCGGTGGATAATATCTTTGAAGCACGTTCTTTGGAGGGATAACAAAGAAAGGGGCGAGACACGACGGGGGGTTCACGGTCGTTCCCGAAAAAACACCACCAGAAGCAACCCAAAGAGGAGATCAGCTCAAAAATTCCAGACTGACCCTTTGAGAGAAAAATGAGATTTTCACGAACTTCAATCCAAAATTAGCCAAAACCTTCAACTAGAGAGTCAAACTCCATTCCAAGAGCTTTCCAACCATATGTCTCACGTCCCAAATGGATGTCGGGAAGCCACCCAAAACCCCCTCGAAAAGCAGCCCATTCTCGGGTCAGGATAGAAGCCCAGAAAATTTCCAGTGTTGAAGTCAGATGGTTACTGGTGAGGGAAAGTGAGAGTTTTTCAGAATCATGAGGAACATATGAGGAAATCCATGACTTGGGAACTAAACTAGAATACATATAGTTTGCGTTGGTGTTAAATTAGTCGGAAAAAGACGTTCTTGAGTCTGGTTTTTGAGACCAACAAAAACATTCGTTGTAAGTAATTTTGTTGCAGATCCCATTTTCCAGCTTGAAGAGGCCAACTTCCGGTCGCCTTCAGAGTACGATTTCTTCGCTTCCTTGTCTGAGAGCCACCTCAAAAAGAAACTACGAAGCAAGGTAAGGACTCCAGATGTATTTTTGTTCAATTTGGACTATGGTATAACCACGGAAAATCGAGAGGAAAACTAGCTTAGAAAACTGATTTCTGATGCTGAAATTTGTGTTGAAATTTCTTCAAGAGCCCCCACATGTTGGACTTGCTACCCCCTTTGTATGCATTATTTGTCTTCACGAGCTTGATGAATGTTATACGTGAGTCCAAATGATGTATATATCAGCTTGGTTTGGTCCTTAAACCGTTGTGTGAACCCTGAGATTGCTTAGAACTCGAACAAAAAGTTGAGCCGATATGCACCACATGGATGGCTAAACGTGGATCATGCACGAAGGCATATTTGAGAGATTAGTTTGAGGTGTGTAGTTGATCATTCTTTGTTTTGTTCATCAGGTTTGAAAGCTCATGTTACCTATTTTTATTGGGATAAATTTTATTTTCCCCTATGTCTCGTAGATGATAAGTGTCAGGGGTTGAATCTGGGCATGCAACCTGTTTGCTTGGCCTGGGTTCAAACCCAGATTTTGCAAAACAAGTCAGACCCGCACATTTGGGGCTAATTTCAGTTATGTTATTGTGTGTTTTAGGATCTAATTTCTAGCTTATTATGTTCTATGCATGCAATAGTATAACCTCGATGTTTTAGTTCCTCTTTTAAATGCTCATGGGCGGAGTTGAAGACCATGAATATGGCGTGTGAAGTTGTTTAAATGCACGCCAAGTGTTCGTTGGAATGTCCAAACCATATTCCGATCTTGATATTGTTGATCCGAGCTCGGTTGTTTTGATATTCATGTTCTGGTTTGGTCCATATTCATGTAGATCAAGCATATGTCGGTTTAGTGAATTTTTTTAAAAAAAAAATTTTAAAAATGATAAATCATTAAATTTTCCAAAAAAATTTAAAATGTAGATTACTGCTAATTTGGGGCAAAAATGGCTTTTTAAAAATTTCCCTAATTTTCTAAAGTCATTTTCCTAATTTAGTGCTATTTTAGTATGTTATAACCTTTTTTGTAAATAATCTTTTTTTTGTAGATTAGAATTCTCTATCGTATTTACATGCATTTAGAGTAATTTCATGCATATATAAATTCCCACTTCACTCATGGGGGTCCTGTCGCGGGGTTTAATAACAAGGCCATGTAATATTTTGGCCGACTCGTATCGAGTTTTCCTTTCCCGTTTCCCGCATTTACTTTCAAGCCATTTCAATTTCTTGGTTGTTTACTTATCGTACTACTTTTCAATAAATTGAGTGTTAATTTCGTTTCTAGATTAGTTTAGGACTAGTTTAGATATTAAAAACAAAAACAAAAAAAAACATTTGCATTGACATTTAGCGGCTTTGATACATTAAGACCATAATTGGTAATCAAGATTGTGTGACCATTTAGATAACGCACTCTCAAGTTAGGTACCGAAAGGGCGCTAATAGAAATGTTAGCGTAAACAAGTCCCCGACCCTGATCTCTGGTTACGTAGGAATCGAGACAACACTCCCGCGTTTTGATTGGTTTCTAGCCGACCCCAATAGGCTAGTGGCAACTTCTAGAAATACTTAAGTTATCAGGATTTTAAAACGAAATCCAACGTTGCGCAGGGTATGAACTTGGGGAGAGTTCACGCCTAGATCGATGGGCCATCGGTCCGCCTTTTTGGGCAATACCACCTAAACCCATTCCTTTTTTCCCCCCGACTGAAAAAGAGGGTCGCGACAGAGATGGATGGTGCAATGGTCACTAGAGGAGAGTCGAGGAATGTATTTTATGCTTGTTTGGATCTGTGCCATGATTTACTTAAAGTCAAGGGTGTTTTGGTCCGATTGGGTAACTTTATCGGGTAAAGTTAATCATTAAATTTAGAGGATTTCCATCCTATTCTTAAAAGTCATTTAATATACTAACTATTTCGTGGACAAAGTATGTTCTCATCCGCGAACAAATTAATTTTAAGTTTTATGATTGATCTTGAATAACATATTGATATAGATCATGTTGTATATTTCGAATAGCCATAAGACCAGCGAAATATGTGTGTGAAGTCCACTGATGCCTTCCAGGTTCATGGATAAACTTTTCGATGAGTGGTACCTATAAATGGTATGAAATATGTGTATAAGTCTAGACTATCTATGGTAGGGTCTATCAGTTTCAAATGATGATGGTATCAATATACTCCAGCTTTACTGAAGGCTAGATATAAATTAGAAGTAGTATCCTAACTATATGCTCATAATAATCTTTCATTTATTTCACGAAAAATGAATAATTTGAAAAATATTTTTCTAAAATTGATTGATTGTATCGTTTGGAATAATTAGCCAATGAAAAATATTTTGATTATCGACAACAATTTATTTCTAAATAAATGAATAAGGAAAATATTTTTTGTTCATTCATTTTTGTAAGCGATATAAATAATCATTTTTAAGAAAATATTTTTCAAATTATCCATTTTTCACTAAATAACTAGAACTGATTAAACATATTACTACAACTTTCCTACATCAAATGCATTTATTAATATGAACGTTATTGAACTCCTCACAGTTGAAGAAACTTATAATAGTTTTTAGAAGGCGATCTTATCTAGACATGAATCCTTTGTTGCTTACATGCATCACCTGTGGCACACTCCAAGGGTTGACACATGTCAACCTTCTCTCTCTCTCTCCCCCGTCGCCGCCACCACAATGCCACCAAAAAGAGAAAGAAAGGGGGGAGGAGGCGTTACCAGCGCCACGCGTCAAAAATCTGACGGCAATGTAGAGAGTGAGAGTATAATAAGCAACTAAAGATTCTCGTTCATCCTATCAAATTTTGAGATTTTGCCATTTCAAAACATATATTACCAAACACACAAGTTTCGGCACTTTTAAACATAATTATAACACAACCATAATAATATCAAACAAAAGCTCCTAATTCCATAGTTAAGGATAGGATGCTAAAACAAATTCCTCAAATCGGATTGGGCTTAGGCTCAGCAGCTAACTCATCTCTCAATCATGTACCGCAGGGAGCTAGGATTAATTGTCCAAAAAATCATAAACCTATTGTACGGCGGCCAATTCAATCTTAAACTTCAATTTAGTCCTAAACTTATTGTACAACCCAATTTTGTCTTTAATCTTTCAATTGTATCAATTTAATCCTAAACATTTTGATAATTTGTCAATATAATCATAAACATTTTAACAATTTGCCAATGTAGTTATTTCGAGTAATTTTGGCTAAAAATCCCTCAAGGACTAAGTTTAAAACTAAATTATCAAAATATTTAGAACTAAATTGGCATAATTAAAATGTATATGACTAAATTGGCCACCATATAATATGTTTAGGACTGAATTTAAGTTCAGCAACTGACTCGAAATGTCTTTAAGTTAAGCGGCTGACTCGTCTCCCAATCATGAACGGCTACTCTTCACCTCCAAAAAGTCATCATCAAATTAACAAAAAATAAAATGAAAAGAAAAAAAGCCAGAACAGAAGCTAAAATGCGTTTAGTGTGGTTGAGCTTCTTAAATATACTTGGCCAGCACAAACCCTCCGATTTCAGTAAAGCATGCTTGTCGTACCACGACCAAACGTTTTACAGAACCTTCCTGTTGCCACAGCCATCACTTTTCCTATAGTGACCACATGATAAGGAAGTATAAACTTTAACTTTAACAAGTCCTTCATTATTCACTCCAAATAAATCTCCTAGAGAACATCATCACAATCCTCTCTCTCTCTCTCTCTCTCTCTCTCTCTCCAAATGACAAATCGTCTAGAGAACCCACTGAAATCGCTCAAGGAGTGGTGGTTCAATCGCCAGGACAACCGTCGGGAGCAAGAGCCCCTGAAAGAGTCTCGTGACCGCCTCCTCGTCGTTGCCACCCTCATTGCAGCCGTCACCTTCCAGGCTGGAGTCAGCCCCCCCGGTGGCGTCTGGCAGGAAAGCTCCGGTGGCCACTTCCCAGGCCAGGCCATCTATGCCTCCCAGGCAGGACAGTTCTACGTGTTCCTGGTGTGCAACACACTCGTGCTTTCATTCTCCATCAACCTCATCATATCCCTCACTTGCGGCATGCCGTTCTTTCTCGAGGTCATGCTGACCACCGGGTCGATGGCCATCACGTACGGCTCAGCGATCTTTGCTGTCACTCCTAAGTCGCCCGACCAATTCCGGTGTCTGCTCTTCACTGGCTTCGTGCCATTCTTGTTGAGGCTGTTGATCCAGATGGGCAAGTGTTGCAACCCGAGGCGCAAGTAATGCGTGTCGGAAATTGGTCGATGTTGGTCGAACGCATAATTAATTTGAGAAATAATGAAATGGTGAGACAGTTTGATAAATGTGTGCCAACAAACTTTCCACTTGAACGATCTCCCGCTTGAGCTTGTATGTATTTAGAAGCTTATGCATTATTGACTCGAATTCTATTTCTTGTTCTTTTTCTTCTTCTTTTTTTATCTTGAATTCACCAAAATAATTAAGAATATCATTAAGATTTTGTACTCTAATAAGATGTTTCTTTGACATATAATTTTTGTCAGCTTCGTAGGACAAACTACGGAGAGCACGTGCATGGTACGACTTGTTAATTTTAGTTTTCGACCAAAGTGGGTCGGCTCAGTTGGTAAGACTCAAGCTCTTCACACTCCCTACCCGGGTATGAATCTCACCTGTAAATTCACTATAGGGTTAATATCACGAAAAACCCTCAACTGATACATCTGTGATAAATTTATCATAAATCAATTTTTTAACCTTAAAAAATTCCAAACTAGTACACTTGTGACAATTTTACCCTCCATTAATTTTCATTAACTTTTACCGTCAAATTTATGAGTTGGATGATACGTGACAGTTGACGAGTGTACCGGTTTAGGGTTTTACTCTCTATTTTATCCCAAACTAATTTTTTAACCTTGAAAAATCCCAAACTGATACACCTGTGATAATTTTACCCTCAATTAGTTTTCATTAACTTTTACCGTCAAATTTATGAGTTAGATGACACGTGACAGTTGATGGGCGTACCAGTTTGGGGTTTTACTCTCTATTTGTCATATGTGTACCATTTTGTGATTTTTTGTGGTATTAATCCAATTTAACGAAGAGTAGATTTGTCACAGATATACCAGTTTGGGGTTTTTTATGGTCAAAAAATTAGTTTAGGGTAAATTTGTCACATGTGTACCTGTTTGGAATTTTTAATGGTCAAAAAGGTAAATTTGTTATAAGTGTACATATTTAAGATTTTTCGTAATATTAACCCTTCACGATAAGACCTTTTAGGTTGCGGTATGCTCTAGTCTTGACATGGGGTAAACTCCCCTCCTCCTAAACCTTTTCATAAAAATAAAAAAAATTAGTTTTTGATTACACGGAAACCAACTGAATACATATGATTATTAGAAGAAGCCCACTCAAACAACATTGGTTTGTTGAGTTAAGGATTTATAAAGCTCTAGTAGAAGCATCATATTTACATGATGTATGTATGTTATTTATTCTGCAATTGATGTTGTCAAGAGGTTGTTGCATTGGTGGCCTTAAGATGCGGTGAGAAAAATAATTTTCAATCATATGATTTACATGATGTACATACGTAGTATATGGATGATTCTACGTCTAGTCTAGAGATGATGACGAACCAAATACGACGTATTCTAAAGGATTGGGAACCTCTAAATTTATAGATTAAACATACATCTTAAATTTATCCCTTGAGCATTTGGTTGACACCTTCTCCGTCATCACCCCCATCCCTTTACACGAGCCCAGCGACCCTTGAGCCACCATGCCTGACCTAGTTCCTTCCGTCGTTGTCCTCTTTCTCTCTCTGTATATATATACATATATAGAATGGCCAAATCGGGTCGTGCATGAGGCTGCAGATTTAGGATTGCTCGACCTCAAATCCGAGGCTGCTAGCCTCAAGCGACCCTAGATCTGGGGTGGCCCGAGGCTAGGGCCGCCATTTCACGCTACCGCTATGATCACAGAGGTGGCGCTTGCGACCGTTGAGTGAGCAAGCCCTCGATCGTTGAGTGTTTCTATAGTAGACTCTAATGTGTTTCAAATTATGATGGTACCAATATACTCCACAGCATAATTAGAGGTTCGGTGTAACTTAGAAGTTGTATATGCGGATCGGAGTAAGGTCAAAATCATCGTTACAACTTTCCTGTGACAACTACAGTTCTTATAGCAAATTTTAGAAAGCCGTCTTATCTTGGACGTGATTCCTCTGTTGCTTACATCCGTCATCTGTGGCACGCTCCAAGGACCGACACGTGTCGATACAACCAATCCCAACCGGGCCCTCGCCATACTACTTCTTCAGCGCCACCACCATTGATAATCCTTCCTTGTCTTAACCTCCATTGCTTTTGTAACCCCACACAGTCGCATTTATCTCTCTTTAACTCCAATGCCTTTGCTCTGTCTCCCTTGCCTCGGTCCAGCGCCGACGCCGACCTCGTCAGCCACAACCGAGCCTGACGGCCGCGATGGACCCATCGTCATCAAATAAGACTTGTGGAAGCCTCTCCTCCAAATCTAGCCATCGCCGCCGAGTCTCACGAGATCTCGAAAGTGATGCTAGATCGCAGCAAGGTCTCGACAGCAGCGCCAAGGCCTTGCTGAGATCTAGTGGCATGGCAAAGAGATAGGAGCTAAAGAGAGTGTTATGAGGTGATGGTCGACTTGACCAGGCAAGAGTCGCAGCCACAAGTTCGATGGAAGATGTCTCAAGTGGGTGCTAGCCAATCGTGGCAGCGGCAACTGATCGAGATCGAGATTGAGAGAGAGAGAGAGGGAGAGGGTTGATAGCTAGCGGCACGTGTCAAAAATCCAACTGCACTATAGAGAGTGGGCGTATGGTAGGCAACAAAGGATTTGCGCCCGCCTTATCAAACTTTCAGATTCTGCAGTTTTAAAATACGTACTATCAAACACACAAGTTTCGACACTTCTAAACATAATTATAACACAAATAACTATATCAAACAAAAGCTCCCATCTCTATTTTCAAAGATTGGCTTTAGCTTCAGCAGCTGAGTCACCTTTCAATCATGTACTGCTGGGAGCTACAAAATAAGTGGACTCTCCACCTACAAAAGGTCCCCCACATCAAAATAAACAAAAGATAAAAAAGGAAGAAAAAGGCCAGACCAGAACAGGAACTGGAATTTGTCAACATTGGTTGAGAGCAGACAAACCCTCCAATCACAATGAAGCATGCATGTACGGACCACGACCAAACATTTCACAGAATCTTCCTATGGTCACACAGCCATCACTGACCACGACGACCAATAAAGTATGCACTTGAACTAGTCCTCCCTTGCATCACTATAAATCTCCTAGAAAGCATCATAACCATTCACCTTATCATTTTAGGAGTATCCCCTCTCCCTCGCTCTCTCTCCCCCAATGGCAAACCTTCCAGAGAACCCAACCAAATGGATCACGGTGCTGTTCAACCACGAGGGCCGCGACTCCCCGCCCGAAGTCCGCAACGTCCTGCTCGTCGTCGCCACCCTCATCGCAGCTGTGACCTTTCAGGCCGGGGTCAACCCCCCCGGCGGCGTCTGGCAGGATGGCTCCAGCGGCCGCGTCCCCGGCCAGGCCATCTACGCCTCCCAGACGGGGCCGTTCTACATATTCCTGGTGTGCAACACGCTCGCGCTCGCGGCATCCATCAACCTCATCATCTCCCTCACCTGGGGCTTCCCGTTCTTCCTCGAGGTCGTGGTGGCCACCACATCGATGGCCGTCACATACGGCTCAGCGGTCTTTGCCGTCACTCCCAAGTCCCCCGACCAGTTCCGGTGGCTGCTCTTCACCGGCTTCGTGCCGTTCCTGCTGAGGCTGCTCATCCAGATGGGCAAGTATTACCTGTGGGCTATGTCCCAGTGAACTTAATGAATTAGAAGCTGCCACATTAGTCTCAATTAATTTATTAGTTTGGATTAGTTCATCTAATGTGATGTTCAGCCTCATCTTGCTCTGAGGATCTTGTACAAAGTGCGATGATCTTGAGGGAATAACTTCATTTCTTCAATTTTACATGTTATTTGCTTGCTAGTGAAAAATTCTCTAATGTCTCATCTTTTCTTTTCTTTTTTTCGTTGTTCATCTTGTAAAAATTACAAGAAGTGGAACGGTATGAATGAGTTCATATGGAATGTGGATAATGATGTTGACTTTTCAAATAAATTAGATGAAAATCCGTCGATTTTGACCGGTGAAATGTGTGCCAACAAACATTCTACTTGAACCATCTCGTGCTTGGGCTGGTTGTTTCGCGCACCCATATGAATTTAAAAGCCAATGCATTATTGACTCAAATTTTATTTCTTTTTCTCATTAATTTCTAATTTTTGAATTCACCAAGTGGGCTCATCTAATTTGGGCCGAAATCATTTGGGCAGTCCAAAGAGCTTCAACCACCAGACCCGATCCACGGGCTATTTCAGGCCGGGTCTGCCAAGGAAAGTAATCCCGACGTTCGGACCAAGAAGAGCTAGGCCCCAGTGAAACTCTAAAAACTCTTGTCTGAGCACGTCAACAATTAAGAAAATCATTAAAAATTGATAAGTGACCTCTAATCGATTCTATATTTCTTTAGCTGTTGTGCATAACGAAATTCGGGTGAAGCGAGTGCACAATGGAGAACGTGCTTTGCTTTTGCACTTAAATAAACTTTCCTCTTTTCATCCACCACCACCATACAACTCCACTCCACCTTTTTGGGTGCATTAGAGGACTGAGGACTCACATTCCTCATAGGCACAAAGGGTCCATTTTGCACAATCAACCGAAGTTCCTATTGAATCGATTGAATGAGAATGGTGATCCACATTTTCCACCAAACGATGGGTAATCGAGTTGTCTTCGTTCAAGCTAGTTCCAACGGTGGTTGCCCTCGATCTTTATCTCCAAAGTATAACAATCTTATGGGAAAAAGAATTTTCTATAATATCAATTGTTAATCTAACTATTTTGATGGACGTTAACCCAATGAACTTATTGCTTCTATATGCAAACTGAACTAGCGATATAAGCAACGGAAATTAATAAGTTTAGGGAAAAAAGAATTGCAAACAAGATTTATAAAGGTTTGACTTGGGCATGCCTACTCCTCTCTTCTAACTCTAGTAGCAAATAGGCTAAATTCCAATACTTACGCTTTGGAGTACAAATACTACCTTATTATAAGTGTAGAATCTGTTGTCGCGCAAAACCCGACTCTCTTCTATAGTGATCTCGCCTTATACAAAGTAACTATTGAACTCTCTAGTAGCCATTCTGATACTTTGTACACACAATAAAATACATCCTCTCTCCAAAAGATAAACCACACCGCTAGGTGTTCACAAAAAGGCTATTGCACGTACCCTTGGTCTCTCGCCCAGACAAATGCCTTTACTTTTCAGTACAATCACTTCTCTTGCGTGTTTACAAATGGGTTTGTCGCTCTTGCTAACTTCTAGGAGCAGCACTCAAATGGATGTCACAAGCTTACAGAAAGAGACGGCCTCAAGAAGGTCTTAACTCATTTTCGCCTTTCCCACCTATGTAACTCCCGACCGAGTTTTTTCCCAATTCACAGAGCTCCGAAAATTTGAACATTGCACTCGGATCACATGTACCCGTTCGCTACCTAATTGGATCCATCCCCGTATTCAAAAGCTCCATCATGATCCCTGCCACTCTTACAAAGTCTTCTCACAAAGTTGTTTTGCTAAACATGATTAGGGATAATCATGCTGTTAAGTACGTCAACGAACATTGTTAACTACCAAGTGCAAGCAAGAGATGCAAGAAAGAGATGAAACGCCAGTCTCTTTCTCTCGCTCCCGGACCAGTTCCAAGCTGCCCATGATTGTCCATGTTCCATGTCGGCTGCAAGAGAATCGGTACAACTGTCAAGTAAGAACAAAAAACAAAAAACCGCAATAAGTGCCACAAATAGCCACGACACAACATACCCCCCCAGAAATAATTACATATATTCTTCTTTTGTCTTCTTTCTAATTCGTTTTTTTCATTTTTTATAAATTTGGGCACCCAGACACCCCACTGTCAACTGTCACGAAGTAGGCCTTTGCCAATTCGCCACTCAAGTTTGCCTTTTACCAATTTCTTTCCAAGCATTTGACAGCTCTGTGACAGTTTCTATGATTTCTCCGGGATGGATCCTACATATGTAAATTGTCCTTTATATTTTTTTCTCTGTCTTTCGTAGTATACGAAAATTGAAAACTTTATGATGGAGGTACAAGATTTACTCCTATTTTTTTTATACGACAATGATAAAGAAATTAGGGATCCATTCGTTAAGGATCGTTACGAACATCGACGGGTAAGAACTCTATCTTAACATGGGTGCGGTTCAATTGTCCCCTATTATGGACCTATTTGTTGTCTCAGCCGTGACATCACGTCACTTGTCCTTTACTTTGTTTCTTACCGCATCTAATTCAAGTCCTACCAAACCCTAGTTAGCACCTAATCCCTCCTCCTCCCGCACCACAGGCTACGCGACTAACCACCGCCATCGCCATCCATCTTCTTCCCCTCATCCATGACGGTTAGGATCTCGTCTTTGCCATCGAATCCCATGGCCATGGACGAGCTGCGATTGCCAGATCTAGAGGCGTTGCCCTAGGTTTTGGAACTCAAGGCTTAGGCTAAAATGGAGGGCCACGCGACGTCATTTCATGAGCGGAGACCATAGATGGGTTCTTAGTAGGAGACGACGGATCTAAACCCCCTCAACATGGCCATCTATATGCACTTTTTTGTGGAATAGCTCGAAAGTTATGCAAAATTATGAATAATGCGAGATATATCAAGATTGATGATGAATGAATACATTAGATAATGTGCGAGGTTTTGTATTAAATGTTAAATATGATCGTTCCTTTGAAAACCAGTTTGCAGTGTGTCACATTAGTTATTAGTGTACTAACTTGGTGTGAATGGCTACATTCAAAATATTAAATTTCATTGCATTTAGTTCGGTGCATCATAATCTTTGAGTTCGATGATTCCCACGTGGTACTCACATCAACCATATGCAAGTTAGGAAACATTGGCATGTGTACTAAGTCAATAAACAGCAAATTCCAGCCAGAGAACCGAACATCAATGCTGCGCTCCAGAAATGGAAGAAGAGACTTCATTAGCCAGCTGTAAAGAAGAAGCAGTCTTCAATCTGTACAAAACCAATTGCCCTCGTAATATCCAAAACCCACAAAGAAAACCTCCACAAAAAAAAAAAAGGAAAGAAACAAAGAGCGTTTCTCGACCTCAAAGTCTAATTAATATGTTAATTGCTGACACACCCAAAAAAAGAAGAGAAAAAGAAGAGACATCAAGAAAAACTAGACAGCTAATTCTTGCTTCTGATGGGAAGCTTCGTCTTCGTTGAAGCAGATGAGGTGGAGCTTCTGCGGTCTGCCATCATCTTCCATTATGCTTGGAGGGCATTGCTGCATCATCTCTCGCTGCAGATAAGAGCAGTAAGTGTGGAATGTGCTGGGCGTCACGTTTAGGTTGAAGCCCAGGCCGAAGAGGAAGTCCACCTCGAGGAAGTTCATCTCCATCGTGCTGATCCCACCGACTTTTGCGTAGTAGGCGTTATTGTAGTAACTGAAAAAAATTAAAATAGAGAAAAAAGAGTCAATTGGGGGAATTTTATCATCAAGAGTGACAATGACAATTACGTATGTGTAGCATGAAAGGAATGAGATTTTTTTTTTTCTGTTTTTTACTCGATATACATCACCAAGACATAAGTAGTTCTCAACAATGGTATCACGAAATCGAGGTGTTGTGTTTGCCGTTAGATCTTGAATTGGTATAATTTGGCTTTAAATAGGGTTTATACCATTAAAAATTTCAAATTGATACCTCATGACATGGTTACTTTAAATTAATTTTTCTCTCACAAAAAATCTCAAATTGGGTACCCATGACACATTTACCTCAAACCAATCATCGTCTCACAAAAAAAAAAAAAAATTAAACCGGTTACCCAAATTCGAATCCAAATGGATCAATGCTTGAAAAGTGTACGGATTATTTTTTGGGAACTTGTCTTCTTTAGTAAATTCGAAACATTCGAATTATGAGATATATTGTACCAAAAGGAGAAAATATATAGTTCCTTTCCATTCCATGTTTTCTTAACAACTTTGAGAGAAAATGCAACTCAAAAGCAATGCCCTTTTAATGCCATCCACTAGGGATTAATGAATCATTCATCAGTTTTCCAAAATTTGGTGGATTCTCCTAGTTGGTTTCTTCTATTTTTAGTTCTCTTTTCTCTTTTGGACACCCATCATTCCTTAGATGGATAGAAACATCATAAAAGGGTGTGCCTAGAAAGTTGAACAGCTAATTAGAATCAGCAAAGCATCCACAAATCATCATACTCCCTCTGAACAAAAACTCTATTTCAATCAAAGAAAAAGGGCAATGCTCAGTGAATTCAGACTGATTTTTTCAAACGTTGAAAATCAAGAATTCACACCAAGACTCCAATTCTGACAGCAAAGACAGCAAAAAGGGGTCGAGGACAACTCACATGTCGTCCAAGAACTTGGCAGCGACCATGACGCTGGTGATGAGGAGGCGGTGGACGTTGAGGGAGCTGATGGGCAGCGCGGGCTGCTGCTGCGCGAACCGCTCGAGGTAGACGTAGGCGACCACGAAGCACGACGGGCTGCAGTTGGCGTACTTGAAGATCCGGTCGAGGTAGCTCCGGACCGAGATCGCCGGCCGCGTCAGGCCGTGGAAGACCGAGATCCTCTGCGGCTGCTGGATCTTGCGGCGGCCCATGTCGTTGGACTCCGCCACCTTCTGGAGCAGCGAGGAGAGGAAGGCGATGAGCCGGGGCATCGCGTGCGGGCTCTCCAGATCCGCCATCGACCAACCGGCTCCCTCCTCCTCCTCCATGTTCCGTGCCGCTGCCGCCGCCGCGCCGCCGCCGATGGTTGTCCCTAGTGATGATTCTTGCCGGCGCTCGTGAAGCTCATGGCGTGCTTCTCTTCTTCTTTTGGAACTGATTGGAGCGTGAAAGAGAGGGAGAGAGATTGAGTTATTATATATAAGGTTTTACGGAACGGGGTAAGGTGGTAGTTAACTGGGCGATCTTGACGAAAATGACCCTGGCGAGCGTACATTATGGCGATCATGTCCCGCGGGTTTTGAGCTGCCGTGCCCTCGAACTCTCGAGTGCTTATGGGGTCTGAGTTGGAATTGCATTATATAATCATGGTTGGCTTTTCACGCCGTTTTCTCTTATTTTTTATTCTTCTTTTTTTTTTTGCGTTTTTCAAACTTTTAAATTGCAAAAGAGGGTAGTGTAATGGCTCTTGGAGAGTGAGGGGAAAAGGACAAGATAGTGTGGGGACTATTCTTTTAGCAAATCACATTGTGTGCTCACAAATATCTGTATTGAGGAAGGAAAAAAAAAAGTACATCATTTACCATTCATAACACTCGAGTTTCATTTGTGGGCTGCCCCTTTTCCACCCCGAATGGATCGCGTGATCTCTCACGGGTTGAGACTCGAATCGAAAAAAATGTCCTACTACTGGTGTCGGAAATCGAAATTCGGGGTAAGAAATAATTTTAAATTAAGAGGGGGACCCGGACGAGATAACGCGGTGGATTTCAAAGAGAAGTGCCGGAAGTCGGAAATAGGGTGGAAAAGCCTTTTATTTATTTCTTCCTACGTACTTGTATTGGGAGAGATTAGGCCATGGGAATGGCATATACCCCATTACCCATCATGTGTTGGGTGTCGATTGTAGCCTTGGTTGGGACCACTTTTTGCAAGAGGCTTCTTTTCATGCCTTGTGCAATTTTCAATTTTTTATTCATTTCCTAAATTTTTCGTTTTCGTTTTTTTTTTGGGTCGTGAAATGACAAGAGCCGAGAGATCTTTGCATGTGTCGTACCCCTAAGAGAAGGGCGCGATCTCTTGCTTCGATCGTGCATGTGGTCCGTGAATCTGGAGGAGCAATTTGGGGCGACATTGAATTGGATTTTGCTGTGATTTGCATGATGGCCAAATAGCCTAACAGCCCAAAAAAAAATTAAAAAAATTGAAAAAATTTGGGAAATGGGTTTTGTTTTCCGGGTTTGAATTTTGAATTTTTAGAGTTAATTATGGGGCATCATTAAAGTAATCAAGACACTAAGGAAATGGTCTCATGATGATGTGGAAAGCTTGCGTTTCTCTCTGTAAATTTGAACTTAGAAGGCCCGTCGCCCACATGCTGCTTGCGACTTGGGTCAAGTCAAAGAGCATTAGGGTCGCTATCAATTTAAAGGCATGCGCAAATTGGTTTTGAGTTATAAAAGTTGATCACAATTCAAGAAATTTCTCCAAAACCCATTATAAATAAGTAAATATCTGATTGACGAAATATCTCGTGAACTTCGTGAATTATTTAAGACGCCGTTATAACACGATTAGTGTATCCCCGGCTCTCTTTTCGGCATCTAGTAGTTGGGAAGTCGAATGCCACGGCTAGGCCCTTCCGATTCGACCCTGCATAGTAAAGATATCATTTCGGGAAAATTCACTAAGATTTTCATTACTTTCAGTTATTTTATTTGGTGCTTCATCGATCCCGCATCTCTCCTATTGAGATAGGGTTCTTTCTCGGTTACCGAGGGAGCAAAAAATGGAAGGGAAATTCCACCGAAATTGTAAAGACATCAATACTAAGACTTTTTTCGTCTCACCGATATCCCAAACTTATATAAGTGACCCATGAATTACCTTCCGCCACGGTTCTACCCATAATGACCGTTAAAAATCCGATGTGGCAATGACGGCGTCCGTATCCTGCGGTGAAAACTTTAGGTTTTTTTTTTTCATGAGATTATCGAAAGACGAGCTTCATGTAATATATATATAGAACGGGCACATAAATTACCTTCCGCTACTGTTCCGTTCACAATGACCGTTAAAAATCCAACGTGACGGTAAGGAAAAGAAATCCGAAAACTTTATGGTTTTTTTTTAATGAGATAACCCAAAGACGAGCTTCATGTAATAGAGATTGGACCTATAAGACATCCACTTTCCATTTACATATCATCTTAAAGAGGAGAACAAGTGAATTTTCACCAACCTGTGGATTCACTTCTTTTTGTCCATTCCCCAAATGAATTGAATACACAAAAATGCCAACTTTGCACACTCAATAATACAGTTGTACCAAAAGCACTGCTCCTGCCAGGCGAGGGAGGAGTACCCAAATGGATCTTAGCTGTCCCAGATGTTCAGAACCGTGGTACCCCTCAAATAAGTGAATCTTGTGGTACAATATTTACATTTTCTTAAACACACAATTAATAAAAAAAATAACCCAAAAATTTAAAAAAAAATAATTAATTAGTGGGGGAGATAAAATTCAACTGCCTACCTGGAACCCATGCTCCTCTTGGAGTGAAACAGGAGCAAAGCATGTCCTGAGGAGGACAACACGACATTGTCTTTTTCTCTTCAATTTCTTTTCCTTAAATTAGAGCAATTTTATTTAAATCAAAAACCCTGTTGTGCATGAATTGCTTTGGTTTCATGCAACCTTATGTTCTAATAAAGGCCCATGTGATGTCCCATGTGATCGCTCCATGCGAAATTTTGAGCGAGTCCATCCCGGGCGTAATATCCGCCTATCACACAAATTAAAAATATATATTATATAATATATAATATATATATATAAGCTGGAATTTCCAGAAATAATAATGGGAGAATTTAGTCAGATGAATGTGTTGGTCCAAAAACGAGAGGGGTGTCGTTGCTGTTGCCCACATGTTGTCATAGTGAATGGGACGAGAGGCGGTGGGTCCCCTTTCCTGCCTATTTTAGCGGCGGTGACCCCTTCGCTTACGGACTAAATTGTAGCCTACGTAGCAAAAATATATTTTTTTAGGAAAAAAAACACCAAAAATATTAAGAGTTAATATTAAAAAAAACTCAAACCAGTATATCTGTGACAAATTTATCGCAAATTAATTTTTTTACCACAAAAAATCCCAAACCGGTACACCTATGACATTTCGTTAAATTTTATCGTCAAATTGCTGAGTTCGATGACACGTGATAGTTGACGGATGTGCCGGTTTGAGGTTTTAATGGATAGATTTATCAATTTATGATTTTTCATGGTATTAATCTAATTTATCATGGGGTAAATTTGTCATAAGTACACCAGTTTGGGGTGTTTTGTGGTCAAAAAATTAGTTTTGAGTAAATTTATCACATGTGTATCAATTTGGGGTGTTTTATGGTCAAAAAATAGTTCGGGATAAATTTGTTACGGATGTACCAAAAAGAGATTTTTCGTAGTGTTAACCCAAATCCTAAATTATATACACTTTTTTGTGACAAAAAAATCACGAACTTGTATCTGTATAACACATTTACCTTACGTCAAAGTTCTGTCAATGATAACCCTTAAAATCTACCTTTATGGATGTTAGAAAGCAAACAATGTTGACATGACACGCACATGGCTTAAGTAAAATAAAAACGACGTTGTTTTAGCTGAAAAAACATTTGACGGAACCTTGTCGGAAGGTAAATATATCACATAGGTACAAGTTTAGGACTTTTTAGTTTATGGTAAATATGTTACATATGTACAAGTTTGAGTTTTTTCTGTAAAAAAAAAGTACAAGATAAATATATCACGGTGGGTATAGATTGAGATTTTTTGTGACTTTTTCCCTTTTTGTAGTACGAAACACTTAAAATTTTTTAAAATCTATAAATAATGACGCATGGGGTTGTATATATTACTTTTCATAATTTTTTGTGACGTGATGTAATTTTCTTTATATTTTTGTATTGTTGCGTAGAAAGTCGTACTTAAAAATTATTGGCAACTCCTTTGAGTACCTTCCCAAATCCGAAGTGCACAAGTAGCGATTCGTAGAATAGCTTGAAATTCATTGGGTACGATGAAAATGTGATTTTCATTCGAGCTTCAATCATATTCCCGTATCATATCAGAAATTAGATTTGTCAAAATGGATCATAAACCCATTGTTTAACTCATATACGGTGGGCCGAATTGTTTTATGGGTTAGCTATATTCAGTAAATGAATCATAAATGAGTTTAATGGGTCTAAACATTGTATGGGTATTACTTACTTAAATCTAACCCATATCTATAACTCTCTTTTCATTCTCTCTCGCCCTCATTTGATCTCGCGCTCACTCGCTCCGCACTCTCACCTCAGTTTGGATATGATTTTCCTGGATTTTGTTAAATATAGAAGTGTTTTAGTAATATAGGTCAGGTGGGGTATGACTGGGTATGGATCGAGTTGGGTAGAGGTCATTAGATTTACATTGCATGAAAATGAGTCAAAACGAATTCAATAGGTCTATTTGGATCGGACCATTTGCGCCCCGACCTGACTCAACTCACTCGATTGATAGGTCTATCAGAAATTCATATGTAGTGACGGGTGGTAACTTATTTTTTCGGCTCTGTTCGATTAGAATCGGGTCTATCATGACGATGAATGTTCGAGGCAATAACTTATTTTTATTTTTTTAGGGTTAGCTGTGAAATCCGGGGCTCCTCCTCTCTATAGACGTGGGGAACCAAACATGGAGTCAAACGTATGTTCAAACGACACAAAAACCTCCGAAGTCCATGGATGCACGTCCTATTGAAAGTGTCGCCGACACAAATTGGTGAGTAATAATATAATCGTATCTTCTTTAGACGTCGGATTCGATTCACGTATCGACAACAGATCCACTTCGCACCACAAGGTGTCAAGTGCGCGAGCATCCTTACTTAAACCTAATTTGCAAAGATAAATGCCAGACAGATTAAGAAAGTGTTACCGATAGAAATATTTTTTCAGGAGATACATTTTATTCATTTTTCGGCATTTGGGCTCGCTTAGGAAAACACATCTTCTAGAAAGAGAGTTTTATCGAGAGGTTTTTAAAGATGTGTAGCATCGCCTCATTTTAAAAATGGAATGACTCAAAGAATCAAAATAACACTTAATATGATCACAAGAGGAAATGCCTATACATTCTCATTCTTTGTAGCTTGGTCGTTATTGTGGTCACCTTCCTTACTTAGTGAGACGCGATAGGAGAGGGAAACTCTAATATTATAAAACTTCAATAGTTTTATAAAACGAGGCGTAAGAGACGCATTCATGTACTGACTAACAAAATGGACAACATAGGCAATGTCAGGTCGAGCTACAGTGAAGTATATTAGAATACCGACTAGTTGTCGATAAAGTGTAGGATTCGAAAGAGAAGTCCCATCTTTGGCATTGGTCCTTGTCATCAGTGAGCCCGGCTCAAGAGATAAGATCAGTAACATATTTGGCTTGTGAAAGATAATAATAAAAGGAATCTGAATGAATGTCCAAGCCTAAAAAGTAGCTGAGTCGCCCAAAATCTTTCATTTCAAACTATTGACTGAGATATTGATTGAGTTTTGAAATGCCAATATGATCATCGCTAGTAATAACCATGTCGTCCACATATGAAAACAACACAATATAACCACAATATGTGCGTTGAACAAAAAGAGCATGGTCATAGGGACTAAATTTGAAGCCAAGAGATTCCACAGTAAAGCTAAATTCGAAATATCATGTACAAGGAGCTTGTTTTAGGCCATACAATGCTATGCATAATCGACACACTTTATTAGAAGAACGATAATTTCCTCAATAAGATCACCATCTAGGAATACATTTTTAACATCCATCTGGAATAGAAACCAGTGGTTAACTACAACAACAACAAGAAGACTACGTACAGAAGTAACACGTGCAACAGGAACAAAAGTCTATTCATAGTCAACTCCGTATTCATAAGTAAATCATTTTGCCACTAGCCGAGCCTTGTAGTGACCCACAATGCCATTGACCTTTGTTTTAATCTTATATACCTATTTACAACCTACAATGGACTTACAGGAGGCAAATTTTCCAAATCCCGAGTATGAGATTTGTCAAGCAACTCATTTGTTATTGCTTGCTATGAAAGAGGATTAGCACTAGCTTCTCTATAAGTGAGGGGTTAAGAATGAGAAATAATAGTAGAGTAACGGTAGTCATTATGAAGTCAAATAAAAAGTTGACTTACTCCGGTAGAACGATGAATAGAGGATGATGGAATGTCAGCCGAGGGAGCCTCCGCGGATGGAGCAGACATATCGGAAGTTGCCGAGGTGGTATCGCTAGTAGGACCTACATCAAGATTAGAAGAAGAAGGCAATTCTAGAGAGGAAGATTCGCAAGTGGTCGGAGGTGTTGGATCTTCTAGGAACAAATCCACTAAAGTTTTAATGAAGAAAGGAACATGAGACAATGATTTGAAGGAATAAAGAGAAGAGAACATCTTGTGCTCCCAAAAGGTAAAATGACTAGATACACGAAGACGGTTAGAGATAGGAATACCACATCTATACCCTTTGTGTTCAATACCATACATAAGGAAACAATATAAACAGGCACGAGGTTCTAACTACGTACGTTCATGTGGAAGAAGTACGAAACAAGAAATACCAAAGACTCGAAGTAGATTATAATTGGGGACACTACCACACAAGTGCTCATAAGGAGAAATGTTACCTATAACAGGTGACGAAGAACGATTGATGGTGTATACACTAGTAAGACAAGACTCTCCGCAAAATTATTCCGGACAAGAAGCAAAGACTAAAAGAATGTGTGTAATATCTAAAAAATGCCTATGTTTACGTTCTACTTGGCCATATTATGGGGAAGTTCCCGGACAATAACGATGAACAAGAGTACCATTTTGGGAGAGAATTATAAGAAATTCTGCGTCTCTAAATTCCATGGCATTATTGGTATGAAAAACCTTGCTTTCTTAAGAAAATTGTGTTTTTATCATGGCAACAAAATCACGGTAAATACGAGTAAGTTCATATCGATTTTTCATTAGATAAAGTCATGTATAACGAAAGTGATCATCCACAAAAATTACAAAATAGCGAGGGCCTCCCATGGTGGGAGTTGCAGATGGTCCCCAAATATTAGGGTGCAAAAGATCAAAAGGAGCACGAGAGATAGATTTACTAAGATCAAATAACAAGGCATGATGTTTTCCCAATAAGGCATGATGTTTTCCTAATTAACAAGGCAAACAATCAAAATGTTTATAATTAACAGAACCTAAATGACCATTTGAAATCAAAGATCTTAATCTAGAGGAAGAAGCATGACTTAACCACGAGAAGATAAGTGGATATCAAAGCCAAGTTCACACAATTGTCCTGCTGAAATCAAATTTAGGGACAGCTTGGGAACCATGAATGTATTAGGTAAGGATAATGTGGATGTTGAAATATTTCCTATATGACTCTCATTTGGGAATTATCAGCTGTGTGAATAGTAGGGGAATGTGAAATGAATGATTTTGACCGTAACAAATCAGATTTTGAAGTCATATGGTTGTAGCAAGCGGAGTCACAAAAGCCACAAATAAGAAAAACGCGAAGTGACAGACACAATAGAAGGAACAAAGGAGCTAGAAGTATTAAACTCTCGAAGAACGGAATGAAAATCCACTAATGAGAAAGTGATGGACAATCCATCGGGAGAGGCCTTAACGGTAGCAACAGTTGAAGATGAACTTGCACATGGACTGCAGTTGCGGGTTTGATTGATGATCACTGTAAGTTGCTTAGGTCGTACTCAATGGCAATTGGACATCGAGACTTCTTATTTATCCATAACATGCACTTTAAAATTTGAACACAGTAGATTCAACAACAAATGAGAAGAAACCAGTACCTCGAGAGCCGATATGGAAAAAATAAAGCCAAAAATGGACTCGGCACGTCAAAATACCCTGGGAATCGCTCTATGACCGCCAAGAATCGATTTGAAAGTTCTTGAACCGGTTAGCAAAGTGCCACAAAAACCAATCGGGCCGGTTTTACTGAACCAGCCTACGGTCAACCGATGACATGGCGGCTAACATGGCGGGAACATGCACGCGGATGGCACGTGAGTGACGTCAGCGATGACGCCGACGGAGCGACGGGCACTTACGGCTTGCGGAGCGCGTGGTGGTGTTTATTTGCCAAAAAAAAGCCACCATAGGCGTTGGAACGACATTCACGGTGGCGTTGGCCCTCCGAAAGCGCGTGACCTTTACTCGCAATCATGCAGGTTGGCGCTTGACCTTTACTCGCGGTCGTGTAGGTTGGCGCGTGCAGCAGTGGGTGGCGGTGACATTTTGAGATACGACATTTCTAAGGGCAATGAGTCTGTGGGAATGTTGGTTTCTATGAATAAGCTACGAAAATTGTCGGAATAGTACTCAAGATCGGTGGGTTCGACGAAAAATGGACACCGGCGCAACTATCGTAACATTGCTACAACCACCACCTCAAAAGGACTCAGTAGCCGCTTCTTAGACAATAAAACCTCTTATACTAAGTTAAGATTGCTAGTGACAGAAAAATGTAATATTTTGTACATTCTTAATAAATAGTACATGAGTCTATTTATAGATTTTAAAGGATGACTATCTAAAGTAGCAAGATATCAATTATAGTGAATGAGAATCAATCAAAAGAAATATCCTAAATATATCTATATCTCTCTCTCTATATATATATTTCTCTAACAGTTATTATGGGCAGGTTCAAGGTCATTTGTGTGGCCGTTTTGATGGTCTTTGACTGGCTCAGGGGTTTGCTCTGCCTCCTCCTCCTGGAATTCCTTGTACTTGCCCCACAACACTGAGTAGAGCCCGGCCACAATCAGCACAGCACCAAGAACCCTGCACCACTTATGTTAATACACGTCACAAATAGTATGGTGATCCTATTGATAAATGAGGCGACCAAAGTCATGTGAGAAATAAAGCCAAGAAAAAGGCATTCAATCATGGCCCCCGGTTTCTGCATGCATCTTCATTGATGGGGACAATATCAAAAAGAAAACATTTGTAAGGGCGACAAGAGAGGAATTTACCCTCCGAGGTAGATTTTTTCGGCGATGATGAAGGAGCCCATGATCGCCACGATGATCATCATCAGGGGGCTGAAGGCGGTGACGAAGACCGGGCCTCTGTTCTTCATGACCAGCCCTTGAACGTAGTATGCGATGCTCGATGACACTATCCCCTGTTCGACGCGCAACGATGTTGGTTATGATAGAGACATTAGTTGTGCAGTTGACGACCCTATGTGATGGTCTTTCTTTCTTTCGTTTCAAATGAATTTCTCTTACCGCATAGGCGGCGGCGAGAAGGTTCGTGTCCCAGCCAATGGACCAAACGGAAGCCTTGTGCTCCATAACAAACGTCACAGCGGTGGACTGAAGCGTGCCCATGAACACCACCAAGGCCGTCAGTGAAAGATGTGCTGCGTATCTCTTCAAGGTCACTGCCTGTAGTTTCAATGTTTGAACAAATCAGCGTCGTGTCAATACGTGAAATTAACTAAAACGAACACAAGTGGTTTGCTATATATATGAATTTATTTTATTTGTTAAGTTACCTGGAGGATGAAGAAGGAGGCCCAAGCAAAAGTGGCGATGATGAGGAAGATGGAGCCCTTGACCCAGTCCTTGTCGGTGGATTCGGGCGCCTCAGAACCGCTCGAAGCGTGGCCGTGGATGTGTGCGGACCACGGGAAGTTGAGGACATTTCCCTTGTACAACGACATCAGCATGGCGCCGCCTGCCGTCACTACCGTCCCCCCCACCTTCGCCATGCACCTCACTTTTTTCATATCAACCTTTTCCATCCTATTACACCGTTGGAGTATAAGCATATCATGGAATGCTCAAGAAGGATGAAGTCTATGATACGATGCTAGACATACTAAGAGCAGTCCTCCACTTTGAAAAAGTGAGTAATATTCAAAAGACTCGGCGTGTCGCTGAGCATATCGATTTTGCAACTTGGTACCTGCAGAGAACCGCCATGACAAAAGTCATTGCGGGGAGCATGTTGCTCATGGCGCAGGAGAAGGTTGGGGACGTGAATTTCAGACCGGCGTAGTAAAGGTTCTGATCTATCACCGGCCTGCGTACCACGGAACAAGAAAAGAAAACATAAGAATTCGCATAAACAAAATATCTTTTCAAAGCTGGTCGAGATAATAAAAGCTGCAGTGTTTTTCATTGTTACACACCCAAGAAGGCCCAGTGCAAAGATTTGCATGAACACTGCGGATGTCATCTTCGGCCTCACCTTCCTGCAAGGTATACCGGATTAATTATTCCCACATGCTCTTCGTTCCTCTGATCTCTCTCATATGCAGCTAACAGATGTTGGGACTGATTGCTCCGTCACTCATTATATGTAAGTACCTCTCGAGGAGGAGGGCGAACGGGGCAATGACGACGGTGGCGAAGGCATGGCGGTAGACGACGAGGACGTAGTGGCTCATGCCACGGTTGAGGGAGACCTTGGTGATGATGTTCATGCCCGCGTATCCAAACTGCAGCGACACCATCGCAATGTATGACCTTGCCCTCCACATGAAGTCGCTCAACCTTCCTGCTTTTCCCTCCATTTACTGGGTTGCTTTAAGGAGCTAGAATAGAAGAGAAGGTGAAAGTGAAAGAAGGGGTTGGTGAGGATGCAGAGGAAGAAACACTTCAAAGAGGGACTTTGTGTGTGTCTCCTAAGTTCAAATTGCTGGAACGAGGTCGGGTATTTATGGGTGGTTGGTTATCCACTACAGTACAGTCCATGGGGTATTCGTTCCTTTTGCATCTCTTGTTTGAATATTCTTTTGAGAGACGGTGAGAGAGAGTTAATTATTCAGATGTTATATATAATAAATTGGATCTGAATAATTAAATTTGATGAGATTCAGGTGAAACTCATCAAATTTAATGGTCTAGATTCAATTTAGTATTAAATTTAATAAGACTTGCTCGACAGAGAGATGTATCCCATCAAATTTAATGGTCTATATCCAATTTAGTATTAAATTTTATAATACTCGCTCGAGAGAGTGAGAGGAGAGAAAGTGATGTGCGATCCCCTAGTTGGGGTTAAACCTAGTGGATTATATTCAATTTAGTATTAAATTTAATAATACTTGCTCCAGAGATAGAGAGCATGATGTGTGATGCCCCAATTAGGGTTTAACCTAGTGGGATTTTTACTTTTATGAGGTGGTGATGAAAGCAAAACAAAAAAAAAAATGTAGGAAATGAAAGAGAAAGGGCATGGTATATGTAATCCTGATCTCGCGCGCTGTGCACTCGAGTGTCGTAGGGTCTAGTCCACTTAGCCTACTGTCTTTAATTGTAAGCATAGCATTATTCCAGTTATATATTGGCCCACTTACTCATTTCTTCTCTACGTGGGACAAGGCACTTTTTGTTTGTTTTGCAAACGAACCATCAATAGATCCGGTGGCCCCGGAAGCCGGGGCCGCCGAGAGGTCAAACGGGGAACACGAGCTCGACGTTGTTTAGGGGTTTCACTTTCGGCTCCATGGGGTGTTTTCATTGGGGGACAGATGAAGGGACGGAGGATGGTCTGGGAGTTATTCCAAAGTTGGACATGAGTTGATGTGGAGATGAAATGAAGATGAGACAGAGATGTGTGAGGAGGATGGTGATGGGTATATGGTGCTGTGTTTTGGACTTAGTCAAGAGTATATGGAGGAGTAACAGGCGGGTCAGGGACGGCATTGAGCTGTAAACAAGATATACAGGAGCAAACGAGCTAGAGTCAAAGTCATGACAATGACGTTCGTTTATGTAGGCGAGAAGAATGACCCAAAAACACTCCAAAAAGAGACTGCTCAACTTTTTCATCGAGCACCAAGGAAAGCTCTCAAGATTATAAAAAGTCTCGACGCGTTTCGTGCGTTTAACTTAGCATTGGCTCGAATTCCTGTCGCCGTCGGTCAGAAAGACTCTGTGCCTGAGTGTCGCATTGAGATGATGTCCTAAACAGATTAGACCGAGTATCTCCCCAGTCGTGTTGATAACTTTGCTCCCCCGGAGACTAGCATTTGAAACCAAATCATGGCTCGTTGGACTGTTCTCAATGATTGAATTGAATGACCAAAACCACATGATGCGCCTATGACTCGATCATCTTTTGAAGTGATATTTCCAGTCTTCCTTTCGTTTTCCCAACTTGCTATCGTTTGTGATTCGTGCTCATCATGATTCTGCGTTGTTGTCCAGACCATATCAGAAGATTGATTCCATGAGAACTCGTACCGACGGAACTTAATTCTAAAGCAAGAATATAGTGCCAAATCAAACTCAAGGTACCTTGTATTCGCAATTTAAAAGGTGAAAAGGAAAGAGAAAAATCTCGAGTCCAGGGGTTCTAAGTTTTGCCTGCAGTATCAAGCACTAGCGCATACATGCGTGATTGCATCAAATAGAGAAATATTTGCCAAAGGCAAAGAATGCAGTGGAGCTAGACTGAAGATGAAACATCAAATGTACTGTTGCCCATGAGTACGTTTAAACGGCCAGAAGAACAGGAGGAGTGAATAGGTACAGGGAATCCACCTAAAAAAATGTTTGAGCAAAGACGAATCAAAACTTCCATGAGCATATATAAAGGCTTCCGCCACGGTCACAATAATGTTTCTCGAGGGAGATCTCACATGCGGAAGTGCCAAAAATTTGGAGGTATAATGGGCTAACTATAAGAGAGATTAAGCTTTCACCCCGGAAAACAGAAACCCCTCTAGCAGATCAGGCAATTATCCAAGAAAGTAGTAGTGATGCCGAAGCGCGATAGAAATTAGGCTAAACAGAAGAATCGAAACGATAACAAGGAACAAACTGTTCTCTCAATCGATTAACAATCGATAAGTTTTCAAAACATCCAAAAACTACTGCCTCTCAAAACCCTAAAAACGAGTTTATAAAGGGTGTTAACCCTAATGACAAAAAAAACGCAAAAAATACAAAAATACCCTTAATTCGAAAATTACTAAAATAATTATAAAAAAAAACATCTAAACGACCTCAAATCGCGAAAATTCATCGTTAATCGTAGCCAAAGGCTACGAGTATTGATCAGCACGCCGTTTCGCTTCAGCCGACCAAATTTGAGCTCAATCTGATATCGTTGACTTCAAACCCGTCGATTCGTCCAGTCGCATAACGGGTCCGCCGGTCCCCCCTAGGTGCATCATCCTCCCCTGCTAGAGAAAGATTCGTCCTCGAATCTGCTTCGCCTTCATTGTCGTCGTCAATCTCCTCAGGATCTTCTTCCTCTTCAGGGTAGTAAGGTGATAAATCTGCTACATTAAACGCAAAAAATACAAAAATACCCTTAATTCGAAAATTACTAAAATAATTATAAAAAAAAACATCTAAACGACCCCAAATCGCGAAAATTCATCGTTAATCGTAGCCAAAGGCTACGAGTATTGATCAGCACGCCGTTTCGCTTCAGCCGACCAAATTTGAGCTCAATCTGATATCGTTGACTTCAAACCCGTCGATTCGTCCAGTCGCATAACGGGTCCGCCGGTCCCCCCCTAGGTGCATCATCCTCCCCTGCTAGAGAAAGATTCGTCCTCGAATCTGCTTCGCCTTCATTGTCGTCGTCAATCTCCTCAGGATCTTCTTCCTCTTCAGGGTAGTAAGGTGATAAATCTGCTACATTAAAAGTTCCGGATACATTATACTTACCCGGCAATTCGATCTTGTAAGCATTGTCACTAATTCGCTCCAAAACTCTGAAAGGTCCATCAGCTCTAGGTTGAAGCTTGCCAAACCTACCCGCTGGAAATCGTTCCTTCCTAAGGTGAATCCAAACTAGATCACCTTCCTTGAAGACAACTCTTTTCCTGCGTATATCCACGCGTTGCTTATACTTCATGTTCTGCCTGTTGATCTGATTATGTACCTGGGAATGCAGCTCTTTGATATGCTTTGCATGTTCTTCAGCTTCCGAACTAAATTGCTTGAGAACTGGTATCGGTGTGAGATCTAAGGGAGTAATTGGATTACGCCCATAAACCACCTCAAAAGAAGTCTTGCCAGTAGTTCGATTCTCTGACCTGTTATATGCAAATTCCGCCTGAGGCAATGCCAAGTCCCACTGTCGCGGATTATCTCCAATCAAACTCCGCAGCAAATTCCCTAAGCTTCGATTGACAACTTCTGTTTGACCATCAGTCTGAGGATGATGAGATGAACTAAACTTCAGACTTGTACCCATGTACCTCCAAAGAGTGCGCCAGAAGTGACTCACAAACTTCACATCACGATCTGAGGTAATGGACTTAGGAATTCCATGCAGCTTAACAATCTCCTGCAGAAATAATCGAGCAACCTGTGAAGCATCATACGACTTGCTACACGGGACAAAGTGGGCCATCTTCGAGAATCTATCAACAACCACCATTATTGAATCCTTACTCCGTTGCGTTCTTGGTAAACACAAGACAAAGTCAAGACTAACATCCTCCCACGGCGCAACTGGAATAGGTAGAGGCATATACAATCCTGCATTAGTACTCTTGGTCTTTGCCACATGACATACCCTACACCTCTCTATAAAACATGTCACGTCACGCTCCATCCGAGGCCAATAAAAGTGTTCACTCAACAAGGCCTTCGTCTTATCCACGCCAAAGTGCCCAGCTAAACCGCCCGCATGTCCCTCAATAATAATAGATTCCCTCAAAGAACATTGAAGAATGCACAATCTGTTACCTTTAAATAGGTAACCCTTCACGATCTGAAATTGCTGAAAAGGCTCCGTTTTGCTCTTCCTCCAAATATCCCAAAAATGAGGATCATCAACATATAAATCTTTAAAAGTGTCAAAGCCTAGAACTTTTACCTGCATCGTAGACAGCAAAGAGTGTTTTCTGCTCAATGCATCTGCCACACTATTTAGCACTCCTGCCTTATGCTTGATGGAAAAACTGAAAACTTGAAGGAACTCCACCCACTTTGCATGCCTTGCATTCAATTTGTGCTGCCCATTGATATATTTCAAGGCTTCATGATAAGAAAATAAGATAAACTCTTTCGAAATAAGGTAGTACCTCCAATGCTCCAAACTCCTCACAATAGCATAAAATTCTTTATCATAAGTTGAATATTTCCTTTTCGCCTCGTTCAACTTCTCACTAAAGAATGCCACAGGTTTACATTTTTGACTTAGGACACCCCCAATACCAACACCTGAAGCATCACAGTGCACCTCAAAAATTTCATTAAAATCAGGAAGCACGAGAACAGGTGCTTCAGTCACCTTCTTCTTTAATAACTGAAAGGCAGCTTCTTCCTCCTTAGTCCACACAAATTTACTTCCTTTCAGACAATCCGTCAGAGGTGCAATAATAGTACTGAAATCCCAAATAAATCTCCGATAAAAAGACGCAAGCCCATGAAAGCTACGTACCTTATGAATATTTTTCGGAATCTCCCAATTTGTAATAGCCTCAACATTAGCTAGGTCCATATGAATGCCTTCCTTAGTTACTATATAGCCCAAAAAGGTCACACGATCAGTCAAGAAGTGACACTTCCTGGTATTAGCATATAATTTCTGTTCCCTCAATGT